ATGATTGTGTTTTTTTTTGTGCTGGTCATAAAATTTCTATATATTCATATAATATGTAATCAATGGTTTTGTATATCTATAATAAGATAATAATTTGTTAATAATATACGAATATTTCTTTATAATACATAATGTATGTATGTAGGTTAGACATTAAACTATTTACGTGTTGTCATATTATTTATACATTCTATATTCTATATTGTGTATTAAAATATCTATTATATTGCAGGAAGCTCAATTGTATATATATCTATATATAAATATGCATATATAAATTTGTATTTAATATATGATAATGATTTCAAAAATCCTGATCAATGATTAGACATATGAGAATATTTTAGTGACTCACACAAGGGATGCAATATATCTGCTTACTGTTAATATTAAAAGTTACATATTAAAAGTTATATATACACATATTCGGAGTGATAGAAAAAGGACATTATTAACAAAAAAAAAAATGAAGGAAAAGAATTAATACTATTTTGATTTACGATTTTGATTTATGAATACATAAATATTAACATTTAATATTTTATTGATTGGTACAAAACGAGGTTTTGTCGGTTTTTTTTCTATTCTGTTTTGCTTTTTAATATTTATGTTTCAAATGTTATTTCTATAGAAAAATTGCAAGGATTTATTCAAATTTTATGCACATACATAAATATTTCTAAATAAGTATACAGGATGTGTACATGAATTTAATATGTTTAAACCATGGGGATGTAGAACAAGGGAAAATTGATATAAGGACTGCAAATCACGATTTAGGAGGGTATTTCCAATAGAGAAACTTTCATACACAATTAAGACTAAATTTATTTTTACATTGAGGTTCTAGTGGAAATAAGGATTAAATGTAAAAAATTTTTTTTTTATCCTACTTCGCTCCTGGGAGGAACATAGGGCTAGTGTATGATATTGTAGATAACCATTAACTAGATTCTTGACTTTACTGGATAGGTGAGAAGCCTACCATAAAATATTTTAAATACATATAATTATCTATCGTTACACTTGTTTTCAAATTAACCTTTTCCTTGTTTTAAAATGGGTTATTAATCAAAAATATTTTGGAAAACAATTATTTTAAATTTGAATTTTTATAAAAATTCTGTACCATAATAATAGTTTGCTAATTACAGCTCGAAATTTTCATCACATTAAGGGAAGTGCAAGTAATTTATTACAATTTGTTCTTTTATTCAAAATCATCCTGTACAATAAATAGTTTGAATGGAAAAAAGAAATGTATAATTTCATATTCCATCATAAAAATATTTCATTTATGTGCATGTTCTATATTATATATGTACGTTTGAAAAATCATAAAAGGAGATTTTATTGGAATTTTATGGAACTGAAATACATATCGAATAATAATTTAGTTAGATCAACAATATTTTTCTTTTGTACTTGTCGGACAAAATATAATATTAAATTTCGAATATAGAAGAAAATCCAAATTTAATATGTCCTCTCTCTTTTTTTTTTGTTGTAATAAATAAAAATATAGAATGAATTTTAGAAATGAAAATTATCAGAAGAATTTAAGATTTAAAACTTAAATTTTTTTAGATAAATTTTAAAAAAAAATTCTATTTAAATCAAAACTGAATTTTATGATAAGGATAAAAATTTCGCAAATTTTCAATGAATTGCATTTTTTTGTTTGTTTTCTATTTTCTATTGAAATTTAATAAAATTTAAAAAGGACTCTTAATTCAAGCATTATTCAGCTATATTAAATGTGTAGGCTTAATAATTTCAAAATCTTGTTTTGATTCAAATTATTTCATAGTTATTTAAGAAACTGAAAATTTGAGCTGTTAAATAATTTTAGAAATTTTAAAATTATTTATCAGCTCAAAGAAATAAATAGTATTTCCTCTTAATTCTGTGAATTCTTTTTTCTCGCTCAAACTATACCTTGCGGTGATAGCTTTTCAATTCATCTGGCTGCAGTTAATTCTCTCAAAACTAATTTGATTCAATAATTACTAATTTACTTACGAAATTCCTCAACAACTCCAATCCAATCAAAGGTTACCTTGTATATTTTAAAATTAAATGCGTAGATATCAAGATCATATCATAACCCTATGTACATAATATATAAAATAAAATATAATTATGTTATCTATAAATTTAGCTAGATAAATATTCGGTCAAAGTAATACATTTCATTCAACATTACCATTAAAATTTTTTTATTTCTAAAAATTACAATGTCCTTGTTATCATATGCAATAAAATTGTAAAAAATAATTTAAAATTTATATTTTTCATTCGAATGCAGAATTTTGAATTAATTTTAGTTTGTTTTTTTGCGGTTCATTTTGTATGTTATGTAAAAGAATTAATTGATAGTTTTTGAACTTTGAATTTATTGGAAATTTTTAATTTAAATATTTTTATATTAGTAGGCTAGAAGCTATACGTATAGAATTTTTGTTAATCAGAATATTTATAACAAATTTTATTTTTCGTTTATGGTATTTTATAGAAAAAATTTAATTGTAATGTTAGTAGTTATACCAAAATTATTTCATAAAATTATCTGGAATACTTATTAAAATTATTACTCTAAAAATACTCAAGAACAATGAATATTGTATGATTCTTTGAAAAATCGATTTTTTGGCTCTTATAATGAAAGAAGCAATACAGTTTCCATTTGTATATTACAAATATTTTCAAAATTCTGGTTGTGTTTTTGGAAGTGAGAATTAAAAACTCTACAATTTCCCTATAATTTTAAAATGATCCCGTGCAAAGTGGACGTACCTATATAACAATTCTAAAACTTTTATACAATTTAAAAATAAGATTCATGAATAGGGGATTGGAATTTTCTTTTAAAATTTCGTTCTTTAATAATATAAATTATATTGTTAAATAGTTAATTAAAAATTAAAATTCACTTAATTGACTATAAAATATTTAAAATTTTACACACTTTTAAAAATAAATAGAAGATATAATTGTATGTATAACGATTACCTCGCATAAAGATTAGGAATATGGGGGAAAAATTATAAAATTTTAAATTAGGAAAAAATTCTATAATAAAATCATTTTATGTGGATGATATACGTTTACAGTTCCATTTATAACATCAGAACGAGAGACTCATTTTTACGCTCATCATGGGAGAGTTTTTTCTACGCACATTAAATTTTGTCATATGTCTATTTTTCACTTAAAGGATCTTCCTTAAATAGTTTGTGTTCGTAGTTTTCTGATATTACCCTCGATATATTATGGAGGCACATTAACGAAATAATTTGTATCAATTATTGAGTATATTGGAAATTATTATGTTTCTGTGAATATCTAATCCGCTGTTGCTAAGACTAACTTAAAATTTTTTGATATTATTTTTTATATCTTTATATTGTAATCATTTCAGTATCCCTCGTCTACATTCAGGGATTTAATTTTAATAGATTATAATCATAGTGCTACTATCTATATAACACTAAATATATATTTTTATTTTCGTAAGAGTTCTCCTTTTTCATCTTTATCCTTCCTTTACATTTTCCATTTCAAAAGTTTTTGATATTAAAAAAAAAAATCGAAAAAAAATTATAATTTTTTTTTTTTATTTTTTATATTAAATATTTCACTTTAAAATTTTATCTATTGTTAAAAAATTATAATATGGTAATATGGGAATATTTTTCATTTTATGGGTAACAGGGTCAAGGATTAGTAGCTATTTAGTATCATTTAGTGTATATCCTCATATACATACGTATATATACGTATATGCAATACAAATATAGAAAAAGAGAAAAATAAGTTGAATTTTTAAATTACACACACACAGATACATTCACACATCATAACTATATTCTTTTGATATTTAATTTTTTCACTTTTTTTTTTTCTTTTTATAATAATATGAATTTTGAAATAAGTTATATAATAGTGGTTATTTTGAAATAAAAAAAAATAGTAGAAAAGATTTTCTTTGATAATGAATTTTTTATTTATTTAATTTATAAAGCTCTGCATTTTAGTAGCCGAGAAGTTGTGCAGCTTTTCGTTATTTTGAAATTAAATTTTAATTTAATCAAATTTCTTTTCTGCTTTTATGTTTTTTTTTTCTTTACAAAATTTAATATTTTTATTTTAATAGATTGGTAATTGTACTATATATATTGTTCTATTTAAATAAAAATACTTTAAGGATACGGGAGCGGAAATGTACATTTTAATTTTGAAATTTAATTTGAAAAAAAAAAAAAATTGGAATCCATTAGCTAATCGATTTCAATGCAGTTTAATTTTTGAATTGAATTTTTGATTGGTTTTTACTTGTATTTGCATTTTTATTATTTGAAATTTTATTTGAATTTTTTATTATTTTTGTAATTAAAGGAACGATTTATAATGGAAGTAGGTATACAGAATCTATATTATGTTAACATAAGGAAAAAATTTGTATTTTAACTTGTAATGATTCGATGTCTGTTAATGTTGCCTGTGCAACTCAAATTTATCGAAAGAAAATATTGTAATATAATAATAAATTTAATTTCTCATTTTGGGCACAATTCTTCGTACCATACTGACAAATTATTTGAAATTTAGTAATAATTTTCATAATTATAAATTTAAATTATCTAAACGAATTTCAGTCCTAGTAAACAATTTTTCAACTAATAAAGAATACATGAAACAATTTTCATTTGAAAATTTTTATGAACTTCTCGAAAAATATAGAGAATTTTCTATATAGATCCATTTGATAATTCTTCTCGATTCTCTTTTGAAATTTTACATAAACCGTTTCATATGAAAAAGTAAAGGTATTAGAATATTAAAGCTCAACATTTTATGATAAACATCTAAATTTTTAGTATTTATGAACTAAAAATTCGGCCCACTTAATTTGAGCAATTGCATTAATAGAATAGAATAAGAGTTAACCATCCTGAAATTGAACATTATATATAGAATTTGTTTTATTATCAACTTACCTAAAAAATTCCAATCCATCTTTATAAAATTTTACAGAATTTAGTTTATGTTTTCCCATTTCATATGTACATGATAATTTTGCTATGGTTCGATAATCTGCAACACGTGGTACTGTTAAATTTGTTAATGATAGTGCTTTAATTAAACGTAAATCTGAAATTAATTTGAAAAAAGAAAAATTATGTTTTTTATTTTATAAAATCCACTTCAATAAATTATTCTTTTAATTTGTTATTAACTTTTAAAAATTATTAATTTGTATTTCTATATAAAATTGAATTATTTTTGTTATACATAATCGGTTTAAATTATGCATGTAATTCGAAATTATTTTTGAATTATTCACATTAAAAATTTATTTATATATACATACATGTATTTTAGTATTAAATAGTCATTAATTGAATAAATTTCAAATAATAATTAATTAAATATAAAAATAATTTTTTAAGTGCTATTTCAGTAAAATTCTAAAAAAAAAATATTATTTTAGTTAATATTACAACGTAAGTCTATAAGTACATTTTTAATAAAAAACTTATTAACTGAAATGAGAAGCAGAAATTCAAAGATTTCTGTTTTATTTTTTTTACACGGTTACGAAAATATTCAAAAAGATGACTAACTTTTCACACTGATTTGTTTCTTTTAAAAAATGCGGCCCCTAAAAATATGCAAATTTGAATTTTTTTAAATTTCTGGTGCAAAAATTGAAAAGTTTTCAAATCTCTGGTAATTTTTTTAAATATTTAAAATTTCACAAAAAACTTGCTATAATTATACTGAACTATTGGATCTGTTTTCCTAAAATAAAAAATAATTTTAATTTGTGTTTGTGAATGAATTCAATAATTTTATTTGAAAAGATTTGCAATTAAATCGCTGGAACATTTTTTAATAATTAAATACTTTTCACACTCTTAATAACCTAGAAAATTTATGCAAATCTTTCATTAATTGAAAAAATTAAAATGTTTAAATTTAATTTAATATTTGACCATGGTATAATTTTAGTATATTTAAAAAATAAATACTAAATAGCGTGCAGATTTAATAGAATTTTGGTAATGATCAATAAATTGAATTTGGTTTTGTTAAATGCTTTGTAAAAAATATTTTCTGCTATTTTTTTAATTGAAGATTTGTGAAAATAAAAAATTTAATTAGAAAAGTAGACCTTTTTAAGTAAAATACGTAGATGTTTCAAAATTTTACATTATTCACATATAACATTTTGAGCTTTAATTAAAATTTATTTTCCCGAAATTTCATTTATTTTTGGTTTTCAAGTAACACCATCATTACCAATTTAACATAATATTTAACATGGCTATAAAAAATATTAAATGTTATAATTTTCACATAAAAAATATGTAATTTTCTTTTAATGTTTCATTACAGCTAATTATATTCTTAAATTGTTATAAATTATAATATGAATGTGAATATGAATATTTATGTATCTACGCATTATGTACTTAAAATAATAATTACAATGATACTCGTAATGTAAAAAAATTATTCAATATGAAAATTCTTATAAAAAAACAATTAAATCATATACAATAATAAAAAAAAGAAGGAAAATAAAAATCAAAATAAACGTCAACACCAACAAGTCGAAATACCGAATTTGGTTTACCTTTGAATATTTCCAAAAAAAAAAAAAAAAAACAACAAGGAACATAAGAGGAGAAAATTTATTTCTCATATATCCTTTATTATTATTATTATTTTTATGATTATTTCTTTTGTGTCCTTAAAAGTTAATCCTTTTAACATACTTCCTTTTTGTTTTGTGTTACTTTAAGTTGTACCTTCCGCAGAGAATGGCAAAAAAAAGGAAAAAATCCAAAAAAATAAAAACAATTTTTATTTTTTTAAGTAACATAAAAATTATGCGACTTTATTTTTTATGTTTTATTTTCGTTTTTTTTTTTCTAAAGTACAGACGCCTATAAATATTTTCATACATATTTTTCTCCCCTTTTTATATTTATTATCCTCTTTATCCTTTTTGTTTTTTATTATAACAGGGAACATTTTTCCTTTTCCTTTCCGTTTTTTTTTTTGTTTTTTTGAGACCATGAAAGTAAACATGGGTCAAATTATATCACGCATTTAAGAATATCCTTTTAGATAAAGAATTTTTAAATAAAAAAAATTATGTAAAATTTGAATATGTTATTTTTGTACATGATTATATTGTATACTTAACATATAATATGAGTTAAAATTTTAAATATTAATGTATAGGTATTATGTACATATGTGTATGTGTATAAACATTTGAAATCTATCTGAAAACGTTATGTAAATCTAAAGTATTCCTAGAGAATTGATAACAGAACTGTTAAAAGAATAAATGAAAAAAAATGTTCTCTGGTTCCGGATTTTTGACCTCTCCTTGCATTTTTCTTGTACATCACACAAGAGTTACCAGACTTATACTTAAAAAATTTAAAATTAGACTATTAAATTAAAATTTTGTTTAAGTTACAATGAAAATTAATGTTGCTCTTTCAGTTTCAATATAAGAGAGCGTAAATGGAATTTTTGATTTACTCAGAGTGAAAGAGAAATTATTCAGATTGAAAGAGAACTCAGAGTAAAAGAGAAATTAATGTCGTAACTAAACTCAATAATGTCATAAACTGGCTCAAATGGTCAATAACATAAAAATATTTAGGAAAATAAGAATAATTAGAACAATAATAAGAATGAGAGAGCCGGAATTAGTAGCTTATATACTTTTGAGAAAATTTATATCATAGGAGTAGGAGTTATTAACCAAAAATAATTATACTGTGCGAGTTACACTTAAAGTTGTAATAAAGCTTTAAATTTACCAATATATTTTATTTAAAATTTCAACATATTTAATAACTAATAGAAATTTAATGAATTTTTAATAATAAACTGAATTTGTAAATTGAAACTCAAATATAAGAATTAAATTTTAACGTAGATGTTATTTATTGGTATTTATGGAAATAATCTAATCCATATATTTTTAAATTTAAACAAAATAGATGCTATTTTCTCCAAATTAAACAAAAAAGAATGAAAATAATAAATATCGCAATATAAAAGTATTATGGAGCAACAAAAATCAACAAAAACAAAAAAAAAATTTATAAAATTCTCAAATATTTTTAATATTATACGTGTGATATGTATAGGAAATTTTTAATGCCTCTTGTGAGAGTAATTATCTTAAGTATTCACCGCAGGTTAAGTTATAAACAGGTTATACCTACACTTTCCCCTTTATTTCTTTACAAACATATATTGAAACCAATCTCTATTTATTTTTTTTTTTTTTCAATTTTATTAATTTTTTTTCATTTTGTTTATATGTGTGTATATACACAAAAGGTTATGTTTTACACGTATGTGCTTTATAACTTTTGTTAATATGTAAATTTGTATATTTTTGTATTTGAGCCCTTAAAATATATTAAAATGGTACAAAAATATTTGTTATATCTTTAAATTTCAAGGATACGAGTATTATATAGACAAAAACTTTTCATTTCTTCTTCTTGCTATATAGAGCTGTATTAACTTCCACATTCTTATTACATGTTGACACATTCGTTAGAAGTCTATTATTATATAATATGTATATTGTTGTTTGGTGTTGAAATTTGAAATGTCATTGACAAAAATGATTTTTACCTTATCTACATAAATGGTTACCCTATATGAACGGCATATTTTATTTTACTTTGAAGTGTTTTCAGTATGAATCAGAAATATTAGAGCAAAATAATACAAAGGAGCATGAGTTTTAACTTTTTGTTCTATAGTGGAAAATGAAAAAAAAACATACACACACATGTACAATATCGTAGACAGAATTGTGTGTATACATTAAGTATGTATATAATTTCTCTATTTGTAGAATAGAATATTATTATATAGTATAATTTTTGAAATTAAGTGATTTTCATAATGGGACTTTAGTTGTTTAAAGTGTTGGTAAATAGCAAACATGTGTAACTCTATATATGTGTATGAAGGCGTTTACATATATACAAATAATATTTTCATATTTGTATCAATAAATTTGATTATATATTTACATTATATTTAGGTATTTAAAATTATAAATATTATATAATTTATTTAATTATTTTAAATTGTTGAAGTTGTTCATTATAATGTTGATTATATTTAATTAACTAAAAATAAAAGTGTAATTTTTAATAATAATAAAATAATATAAAAATGAAAATGAGGAAAAAAAATAAAAAAATAATTTAAAATTATTCTCTAGAACTTAATTTTTTTGTAAAAAAAATTGAAGAGTAGTAGAGTTTTTGGTTTTTTCATTTTTGATTTTTATCATTTTACATAATTAGATTTTGTATTATTTTTTGTTTTTTATTAAATATTTAAAATTTAATTGAATGCACGTGAATGAATAAATTATTTTTTTAAAAACTATAATTTAAAAACGTTTAAAAAATTATTTTGAAATTAAATTAAAGTTAATTTTTTTAAATATTATAGAATTGATCTGTAACAGGGGTTGAATATTTCCTGATTTTAGGCAATATAATTAGAATGGGTATGAAGTCCTGCATTCATATTTATAATGGGTATGAAGTCCGCATTCATACTCATTTAAAAAAATTTAAATTTGCTATATAAATTTTAAAATTTATGTTAATTAAATTTAATTCATTTTATAATTTAAACAATTTTATTAAATTAAGTTCTAAATTGACTGTATGTTTTTTTTTTAAATAAACGACAGTAGAGGCTCAGGCAGATATGCAGTTTATGTTTAAGTACGCACACATGCTACTATATGATCGTATGCAATTAAACAATTAAACATTTCGTAATTTTTGCAAACTGTTTGCAATTTTTAATTAAATCAATCGATTTTGTAACTAAACAGTAATTGTAAAACTAAAAATTGCATGTCTGCCTGAGCCCTAAATCGAGTATTTTGTTGCAATTTCGGATAAGTAGCAACTGGATTTTCATTAGGAAGATAATATATTTTCCAGTTTTAAAATAATTCCCAATACTTTGAGCTGAAATGTATTTTTCACATTCTCTTGTAAGTTGCTTGTTATATCATGTTACAAAATTTGCTAAGCTAATCAGGTGTAATTATCAGACGGCAATTATTATAG